AAAAAAGCAAAACATTTATCTCCATAAAACTGTATAGTTTCTACATAGCAAAACCACAAACCAGACTGAAGGATAAATGACAACCTAAAAAAATATTTTTAAGTCTATGTCCAAAAAGATTAAAATGCTTATTTTTTGTTCCTACGAATCAATATTTTAAGAAATAGAAAGCAATAGACATTAAAAACCACTTTACAGAATAAAAACAAAAACAAATGACTCTACATGAGGGATGTTACTTGGGTGATGAAAAAATGTTCTAAAACTGATTTATGGTGATGGTGACACAACTTGGTAAACATACAAAAGAAGAAAAATATCACTGAATTGTACAGTCGATGTGAGTGAATTACATGTTAAACAAGCCTCAGTAAAGTTGTTCAGAAATGAATAAACATTAAAATAGATGTTTTTATTAGTATTCAAAGATATGCTAACAAAACAACACCTCCTGCAATGATCTTGCTAAACTTCCACAACATCGCATTGTCCCGTTGTTTTTTTTTTCCCCCTTCCTTTCCCTCCGCAGTCTCCTTTGTTCATTCCTCCACTTTCATTCCTTCCGGTTCTCTGCTGAACTTTCTTTCTGCCACATTCCCTCCCTAGGAGTCAGAACTTGTCTGTATCAACAGTAGCAACAATGTAAAGCAGCACTGTAGACCTCTTTTCTAAACTCCGGGATCATGTATCCAGCTGTCTGCTCAGTGTCTCCCCCGAGGTTGAATCACCCATGTATCAAACTGAACACATCCAGAAGGCAACTCTTTAATCCCACAGCTCTCTCCCCTGCACAAAATTTCCCCTCTCCGGCACTCCCCTCCTCTGTACATGGTATTTCTATCCTGCCGGCCAAACTCTGAGATTCATCCTTGGTGTCTTTCTCTCCTTTACTTCCTTCATCCAATCCTATTCCTGTGTCAAAAATATCTTCGGATTCCATTTACTTCTCTGCCGTCCTGCAGTCCCCCTACAGTTTAAACTACCATCATCTTCCGTTTAACAATCCCAAGGGCACCTGCCTGGTTTCCCACTCAGACTCTTGCTCCTCTCTAACCTATTCTCCAACAAGGGCCAGCATGATTTTTTAAAATGCAAATAGAGTTATTTGTGGTGGACACTGAGCTGCATCACTCAGATTCTGCATCAATGAAGGACTTGTTATCCAGAGGTTGAGAATGATATCGGACCCTTCGGGGTCGCCTTGGCTGCAAAGAACTGCCTTGCCCCAGGTCACACCACATCCAATGATGATTCAATGAATTCAGAGGTCTCTGTGCCCAACCATCTCAGCATCACTGGGACCACTCTGAACACTGCTCCCCGTAAGGTCAGCCAGGGCTGTCGTTGGGCCCAAACCCCAAATTGCCTTCTCACTCTGCCTCATCCTTTATCTTTCCCTTCTTCCACAGATGCTAATCCTAAGAGCACTCCTTAAGAAACAATCTTTCCACTCAACTCTGTCTCAGACTGTATCCTCAGGAATACGGTCTGTAGCAGCCTTGTTTCCATGCTAGAAACCCGACGACGGTATTTTTGGGGTCCTACTGATCCAGACAGATTCCTCTCTTGACATTCACCTGCTCCAGTCACACTGAGTCTGTCTTCAAATACACCAAACTGTGGCAAGCTTCAGGATTTTTTTCAGGTTTCATTCTGTTAATGACGTCCAAACTACTACAGACTATAGGATGCAGATCACTCACAGATAACACATTTCATCAATTTATAAGCTTCTTACACAGAATAGCTTGTCTTCAATGTGATATTCTCTATAATAGCTGACACAGAGCTCTGCTCACAGAAGACACCCAATAAATAAAAACGTGTGTGGAACTGAATTACATGACTTAGCAACAAATACTAAATTGCAGGACCAAGCCACTACCCACAAGAGCATCCTCAAACAGTTCTACTAGATTAGGCAAACTCCAGTGAAAAAGGCAATGGAGAGACAGGAGACAATTGATATGTACAATGTACAACTGTCTTATAAAGTTGGGATCAGAAATTCTTTCATGACAAACTAATGCATAACCTCAGCAATGACTCATACCCAAGGTATTTAAGGCAGCAAGAAGTACATGGGGCTGTGCTTTTACAACTCCTGTTTATCACGTCTCAGAAACTCCCTTCAGGAAAATTTCTTCTTGAATAATTTCATACTAAGACCTTCTTTCTTCTCCCATTGAATCTTTGTAGGACCGGATCCAAAGCTAAGAACATTCTACCTATTTGCAGTATATTCTCTCTAATTCCAAAGACTGTTACTAAATGGCACCATTTTTCCCGTTCAGGATCCCTATCAGCAAACTCCTATCATGTCTCCTTATTTGAAAGTGTGTAGCTAATTAAGATGAACTACGCACTCTTGAATCTAACAAGTGTGGCACCTTTAAAAAGAACCTCCTTCTTAGAAGGCATTAAAATAAGTAGAATGATTTAAATAACTAAAAATTTCCAGAAAAATAAATAATCTATTTGCATTCAAAGAATCTCCAGTAAAAGACTACCATGACTATACTGGCAAAATAATTCCTCCTTAATCATGAGTAATATATTTGTCTTTGAATTTCAGAATTGGTTGATAAACAGATAGCTTATAATATCCTTGGAAAACAGCTCTTTAAAGACATGAAGAAACTGAACAAAACAAGGGTAATATAAATCGATGGAAGAAAAGGAATAACAGATTCCCCCTAAACGAGCCAGAAACTTAATTATCACCTTTACTGAAACCCAAACACCCAGGTTCTTGTTTCAAGGAGACCTACTCACAGAATATTTTCATGACTACCCTGTGTTTGCAACTGAAGATTAAAAACTAAATATTATTTGACAAGTTTTTATATGACGACATAAAGAGTGGCTAGAGCCTGGCTGTTGACTCAGACATTTCTGCCAACCTCCTTTGCCTGCCAAAATATAGCTTCAATAAGCACACATAAATTTTATTTTTAATAAATAACCACAAAACGGTTTCATAAACAGACTAAACTGTGGATAATTGTAGCTTACAATGAATATGTGTTACAGTTTCAGTAAACAGAAGCTACTCAGTCTGAAACTGGCACACCCTATCTCCATCTTATGGATTGATGGCAAACCCGCTCATGTTGGAACAGCTCAGTGATTTTCTTGGTCAGAGGCCTACATCCCAACTACTTAGGCTTCTGCCTTCCTGCAGGAGCCCTCCTGGTCGTCTCTGCAGACATCAGGGTTTAGAGTTCTGAGAATTTAAAAGGATAGCTGAGGTCTCCACTTGGTGTCCCAAAAGGGTCTTTGTGGTTCAGAACAGTTCTTTATGACTGACCAACATGTAGACACCTATGATGGTTTAGAATGAATAAATAAAGGGCATTTGGGGGGAATAAATACTGATCTGATGAGAAGGAGCCAGTGAGAATAAACTGTTCTTTCTAACTAACTTTTCTTGGAATTTACGTGTTCCTTCTACTCAAAGGGTCCTTTTGGAAGAGTGCGTTGCCTTTTTTGGTAAGTAAATCGACTGATTCCTTAAGAAAAAAGCAGCTTATTGAAAGCTTCATGGATGTTTTTTTCTTTTTTGTCCTTTAGAAATCAGCTTTATTTTTAAGCCTCCCTGACCACATGTGTGCTCTGATGAACTTTCGTTCAAGTCAAGGAAAAGAGGCTCACATTTACCACGGCGCCTCCAAATTCTCCCGCACCTCACACTGGCCCCGGGAAACCCAGAAAGAGAAAAGGCAAAGGAGGAAATAGTTTTAAACATTTAGAGCTTCCTTTTGAAGGTGAAGAAAGAGAGTTTTATCTCTAGCAAACACACACACACACACACACACACACACACACACACACACACACACAAGCCCCTTTGTGGAGAAAAAGCAGTGATGACTGATCAAACGGCTTTCGGAATTCCAGGCATGCCAAGATATCTCTGGGTTAAATGGTGGCGAAGACCCCAAAGACCCCCATGCTGTTTAAAAATAAATAAAATAACTCCAGCAACATGATCCACATTCCATTTGTACTAGACCATCTTACATGTTTTACATTCTACCTGTGGTGACCTTTCATTTCTTAGCTCATGGTTGGATGTATTCAGCCACAATTTACATCTTACCAGATGTACGAACCTAGGATGGACAGGGCAGAGCCTGTGGTCAGGAGGGGAGATAGGGTAAGACAGTGGCACTGACACCAAGAAGCGCCCAGCCCGAGGACACAGAATAGAACAGAGCTATGGATTAAGTGCCATATGAGCTCAGGGAGAGAGTGACTCACGCTGCCTGAGGTTGGTCTCCACTAGGAGGAATGCCTTGTGGTGTTTTGTGACCTATGAAACATTGGCAGCCTGCGATGCCGCCTCACTATTCTGTTATGCTCCTCAGCTCTGCCAAGGTTAGATTTCTCATCTTAACCTCAGTCCTCCTCCCGTCTGCATCCTTTACAACCCTACACAACCCCCGGTGATTTTTTTTCTAAGCAAATCCTCACTTGACTCCAGTTAGCCAGTTTTTCTATTCCTTATTCCAAATGAAATTTAACTCGCTCTATATATTTCTTATTAAGAAGCTATAAGTAGCTAACTATTGAGGATACAGAGATGCAGGGTCTCATTTTCTTCAAAAAGTTTATAACTCAGCAAGAGAGTTAGATGTAAAAACGTAATGGGAAAAATGTTTTAATAGAGGTGTAAGTAAAATGCTGTGAGCTCTTAAAAAAGGAAGTTTGTTTGATGGGATTACAGATGTTTTCACAAAGGTTCTGTCGTAAATTGAACCAAGAGGCACAGACATTTTTCATGGTGCTCAAGGGACAGTGTGAGCAAAGGACTTTAGATGCTTGGGTAAGTGGCTGAGTGCCACCAGAGCACAGACTATATAGAGGAAGAGAGTAAGATCTGCTGTTGTCCAACAGGTTGAACCCATCCCAAGAAGAAAAGGTACTCTGTGAATAAGGAGAAACATTCAAAGTTCTCTTAGAAGAAAAAAAAAAAGAAAAAGAAACTTAAGACTGACCTGTGATTTAGAATGGCAGGTCCCGAAGCAGTGAGAAAGATGAACTGGAGAGACTCAAGGCGAGAGCTGGAATGGACCCCTGTCAGCAAGAATAGAAGACAGTACGATAAAAGGCCTGTAGAGGCTAAAATAAATGTTTTCTCAGTGTGGACGAGGCTCCACTGTCACATTTCAACCTCCCTGCCACGCTTCATTTTCAACAATCAGACGAGTGACCAACGAAATCAGATATTAACCAAATAAAATGTTCTCTATTGAGAAAAGTGCTGTCTAATAGAAACTTCGCAGTAATGGATACTGAGCACTTGAAATGTGGCCACTATGACTCAAGAACTGAATTTTTACTTTATTTAGTTTTAATTAATTATAATTTACATGGCTCCATGTGGTTAGTGCCACCATACTGGACACTGGCAACTCAAGAGAATAAAATTTTCCTGAGTCAAGGGATTCAAAGCATTTCTAAAATTTTTGCATTAGTCTACTAATCATCAGACTTCAGTGGCTCTGCTAGATTTCAGACTGTGTCTGCCAACCTATCAAAAGATCCACATTAATGAATAATAAGATATGGTACTTATATTTAGCTCGGGCATGACAAAACTCCAAATATATTTTCAGTTCCAGAAAGGATCCCTTTTAGTTACTCAGAAGGACCATCTAACCTCCAGGTCTGCTTGCACAGCCTATCAATGATGGATAAGATCGTGGAAGTCAGAAGAGGTTGACAGGTTCTCTGACTTAACAAAGAGAAGGATCTGCATCCTGATGACACACACACTTTCCAGTGAAAGCTGCCCAGCGAGTCACTGCCCCGTTGTGGCCGAAGTGCGGCAAGATGGCTGGGGTGTGGAGTTAAACGTTTTCTAAGTTGATTTGTGGTGTTAACTTTCCAGATCATAGAAATGATTTAGTTCAATATGTTTTCTCTTTTGGCTTTGGAGTCAAGAATTATAATCGGTTCCTAAGACTTTAACTTTGAGTTTTCCATGCAGTTATCTCAAAAACATCCTTTTGCAGTTTTCTTGGAAACTGGTTTCTTGTTCCATGAATTCAAATACGCTATATGTCATGGCTACTGGTCAGCTATCAGGATACATGGCCATTTTGGCACTTCGCTCTTTAGAACCTCTTATGAAACACTAGAAGACTAAGTAAAACCATATTAGATAACTTTTCACTTGCTAATTTCTCTAGCAAAATATATTAGAGAAGCATAGGAAGAAATTAAGTAATAAGATTTTGAAACAACATTTAATTTACATGTTAATTATCTCCAGTGGAACAAGTATTTAGAACATGTCTATAATAATATGAATCTCTGATAACTTTTAAAAACCTTTAAACAGATTAATCTTTTAAAGCAGATTGCCTTGAAACCATAATGAAAGATATAAATGTGCCTAAAGTCACAATGAAATTGTGCTTTTCAAACTGTGGATCACAACCAAGTAGGTCAGGAAATCAATTCAGTGGATTAATCTAGGATAAATCAATTGATTTAGAATAAAGTTAATAACAGAATAGAAATAGGAATAGAAAATAGTGTATATCAGACATAGAAGGAAAGGAAACTGCTATATCGTAAAACTCTCTATCAATCCTGTTTGTGTTCTGCGTCATGGTGAAAGTATTTTTTACAGAGAATTACTGTACAGAGAGCTGGAAAACTGCTGGTTATCCGATGGCAGGACAGAGAGAAAGGCATTCCAAGGAGACCACCTTACACAAAAGTAGAGATGTGATGTCTGCTGTGCTTATTGTCTGAGTTGGCACTCAAATTGCGGTGCAGGGTTTAATCATTTAATATGGCCTTCAAACCTAGAGGTACAGTGAAAGTTGAGATATTTTATTTTCATTACTTTTGAATTGTTAATAACACAGTGGTGCTTGATTTAGATCTTAAAACCGTAAGAGCAAAGTTTTTCAGAAGGAAGAGCTCATCTCAGATGGGTCAAATTTTCTTTCTGAGGAAGAAAACGAAAATTACTTGTATAATGACAGGATTTAGAAAGTCATACATAGCTTAAACCACCCCCTCCTTTTGGCGGTTTAAAAAAAAACAACGAATATTTATTAGAAAACAAAATACTACATTATAAGAAAATCAAGAAAATTAGGTCATGCTTTTGCATACTTATAACTATTATAGGATATACATCATTTAACTTAATCTTACACTTATAAAATTTACATTATATTGGAGGTTGGGTAGAAATTGGGGTCCATAACCAGGCACATGTGCCATGAACAATCACAAAAGGCTTTTGGGGCCAATTTAGACAATATGGGAGTGCCTTTTAAGCATAAAATGATAATGAGTTGAAAGCACTAGTTCAAAATAAAGCTTTTGTTAATGTGTTTTGTTCTTGCTATCATTTACATTTAAGTGTGAATATATTTGGTATTCCTTTCTTCTTCCTTTGATTTTCCAGAATATAACAGAGAGCTTTTCAAACAGCATCTCAACTCACAGGCATCGAATGATGCGGCAGAATCTAAATGGAACTTTACACATTTATCAAGGCAACTGCTAAAGAGAGATAATCAATACATTGTAACAGACTAGGTAAATCACATCTTAATCATTCTAAATAGTGTGTGTGTGTATTCTTTCTTTAAGATGGAAAAAAAAACTTTCAGTTATTTTTCAAATAATCTCAAACAATGAAAATGACCCTGGTATTTTAGATTTCATAAATTCTATGGGAATTACCATTGTAAAGATTTCGACACAGCCTTGAAACTTACTCTCCAAAAAATTACTGTTTTCAAATAATGAATTTGACTTGAAATGAGAAAATAAATAATAACATTACCAAGATTTTCCATAGCAGTTTTCAAACAAAATTAAACCTTCTCATTTAGGTACCCATTAGATTTTTCAGGTCTTGGAAGGGAGAGGCACAGTAATTACAATTGCAATCTCTACCAAAGACTTAAAAGTCAAACCCCAAAGAATCGTAACTTTTTAAAGCAGTTCATAAGGGTTTTCCAGAATAAGAAAAGTGATTATGAGTTAGCTTGTGTTATTTTTGGTTTCGATCCTGTGGGAGTGAACACTAAACCAAATACATATATACATACATATGTGCTATATATATATATACATCTTGGAATGAAAGTTGCAGCTCCCTTCTCTGATTGCCTGACTGCTGTAATGTCAGATTTTTCAAATTCTTCTCTACTTTGGAGGAATCATATTTCCAGGA